CCTCCTTCTTGACTGCTACCGCCACGACCTCAGTACGGTGCTGGCCGCGGAACGGTAAGGTCATTGTTCCACGTAAGTAGTAGTAGCGAGGCCACTGATGACCATGGAAGTCCTCGACCATATCAAGGTAGCCCGGGGGGACTGTGGGACTGGTAGTATAAACCTCGACGTGCGAACTTCGCGCTACTAGGTATCGTAGGACCTCGGTTGCCAATTGAGAGTATTGTACCGCGTGTTCGACTGGATTGTCGAATTCAATATTCTCCTCCAGTGCTAGCAAATGCGTAAAGCGCAAGCTGCGTAGCAGAGGAAAGCGGGCTATCACGTCCAAAGTCTTTGCAAAGTTTTCCTCCCGAGGAAACAGAAACGGTACGCCACGGGTCATAGACCTGATATCGATAGCAGCGACATGGATACCCAGCTCCTCTATCTTTGGACACCCAACTAGAAGTGTCTCGAGCTCGGTAGCCGTGTAGCAATGGTTCCTGGCTTCGGATAGCGGAAGGCGATGTGGACGATACAACGGATCCAAGTGGAGAAGTTGTAGAGTTTGTCCGTGTAGACATATATTCTCCACATTGACATGCTGAGGATTTCGAGTCGCGACGAACAGCCTCTCCAGGCCTGAAAAGCATCCGATAAACTGGTCTAAGAACTTGACTAAGTCTGGTTCTTCGGAAGATTGTATCAAACACAGCGACTTCAAAGCGAAGCTGTCCAGTGCGGAGTATTCAATGCTCAAATGCTCTAAAAAGGACGAGACATTGATACAGTATCTTATCTCAAGATCTGCGAGACACTGGAGATCAGTGATCTTCCCCAGATGGTAAGGGCCATCGAATAGGTTGATGTACGACAGGCGAAGGTGTCGAAGCCTCAGAGGTATGAAAGTACTAGGATATTTCCACCTTTTGAGCGAAGCCAGCTGTCCGAATTTGGGATTGGATCGATTGGACTCGATGTAGGGTGCAACATTAAGGGTCTCCAAAGCTGGTGTGTTGAGAAGCCACGCACTAAAGTCGTCGTCGTTGGCGGGTGTAATGGTCAATTTTCGAAGCTTTTGCAAGTTGCCTACGAGGAAACGAGAGTCCGGACAGCCATAGCCATGCTTCTTTGCAGGCTGCTGATACGCAAGCTCTTCAATCAGATTTTGAGAGCGAATCAAGAGGCCCAAGGTGCTGGGGTCCACAGTCGGTAGCTCCACGGTGCGTAATGTGTTTTGGGCAAGGACGGTGATCAGCTGCAGCACCTTCTCGGAAACCTCGGAAACCTCGGAAACCTCGGAATACAGGATAATCTTAAGATTCTTGACGTTATCGAGAAATCCGTCAGGTGGGGATAAGAGTAGCGCGTCGAAATTGCGACCTCGTTCCTGGAGATGGGAGCTGAAAGTCTTCCAGAGCACAGTCGAACTAGACTTTCGCCATCGTTTGTTGGCCAGTCCAAGGTTCTTGAGCGCTCGGCCTGGCAACTGCGTCTACATTAGCACTATGGAAGTATTCGATCTTGCTGATGGTTTACCAGTTCGCAAATCTGCAGCCGCAGCTCTTGTGGCAGCTTTCCAATGTAACCTTGCACACTAGGTACTAGGGCCATGTCGAGTTCGCCCAATGCTTGCGGCATTTTGGGTGATGAATTCGCTGGTTATGTTGCAGTCCAGGGTAGAGTCGTGTGGTCAGTTGATCAGTCGATGAGTAGTAGAGCCAGTTCGGGTGAGGTTCTTATTCGATAGATGCGCGCGTTGGTCCCTGCACCGGCAGGAGCGTGGAATGAGTGAAACTGAAGTCAGCCACAAAGGGCTGCGGCGTGAGCAACGTGAGTAAGTTCCCATTCACTGACGACATGATCAATCAGTTGTAGGTTGCATACCCAGGTCAGTGAAGGCGTTGCAGTCACTGCTTCATGTAGTTCCAGTCGGGCCCAAGGTAAAACGCGTCCGAAAGACATCATGATGGAAGTACTTGCCAGCACTGCATCAAGCGACCAATATCTGGTCATACTATTCCTCAATGAGCCTCATGAACAGCTGTTGGAAGCACCACTGCCCATCTCCTGGTAGCGTTCGAGGTACGTCAGGTTAGCGGGTACCGAAGGCTAAACGGGACGCGTCGCGAGACATAAAAATCACGCTACGATGGTAAACCTGGGGACGCCATATGACTAAGACAAGAAGTATCTACAGATTTGCGGGAACTGAGGAGAGTTGGCGGTAAGGCGACTGTATGGTGCGAGATGATGGTGGACGAAAAGGCGTCTCGGGGGCTCGGAGATTGACTTCAGCAAGCACCCGTGCGCCACGCTATCCATATTTGGAAAAGCACGACGCGTGATGTCATCGCGAGCTGTTCGCCCAATACTCATCACGATATTTCGCGCATTTCGCAGGATTTGAGGAATGGACATGGAAATTGTGGTATTGAAACGTTTTGGTACTATCCTCCTAGCTGTATAGTAACACGCGTTATCTGCTACACTCTAGAAGGACACAGGATACGCCCATAACTCTCCCGAACACTAGGTGCGCGACAAAGAAACTCGGGTTTCCTGAAATGTATCGACCATACTAGGCCAAAGGATGCATTGTCTTCCATCTCATGGCTCTGCCACCATAACACACCGCGAATATCCCCCGGCCACTTTGTCTCCAGCCGCTTACTTCCAGAAAAGCATATCCTCATGTTGCCCTTGTCCTAGCATGGGAACAGCAAGAGCGCGCGAAACCTGCTTTCCTCCGCGCTTTGCTACTGTCAGTATTCCGCGACGGTAGGAGAAATCGGGAAATGAATGCCCATTCATGTCCATGAAGCCTGCCGACGAGTATGTATCTTCTGGCCAGTAGCCCGGACCAAAGGCAAGAATCTCGATAGACGATTTGTGGTCCGCAAAAAACTCCATGATGACATTGGCTACTTGTTGATAGCGGAGTTGATGTTTGTGGATGTTGTAGTCATATATCTCCTCCTCGTCCTCATTTTGTACTTGAAACAAAGGATGGGTAATACGGAGGTTGCGGAGGTTGCGTAGCCGGGTGAGAGGTAGCTATGATGAAGTCAGTGTGTCATTCACGGCCAATGTTGGCGTCATCGTGGAGCACCTACTAAAAGATCGGAAACTTTCACATCCTCCTGTAAACCTCGTCCAGTATCGTGCACATTGAAAGTATCATATGCAGTATAGTTTACAAGGTCCCAATCAACAAGATTAAGACTGAGCGCTTCAATGTGCGGACAACTTGCCACGAGCCTCTCAAGCTCTTCAGGCGTATAACGTTCGACGTTTCCCGTATAGAGACCTCTGTAGTCGTGAAGATTGGGGAAGTGATCAATGTGCAGGTAGCGCAGAGATTCTCCATGGCGGCAGATGCTAGCAATAGACGGGCGCATGGCCTTGATTGTGGTGATGCAGAGAGTCTCGAGTGTCGGAACGGCTTCAAGAAAGTATTCGATCTCGGTGTTAAATGGCTTCTCTCTTCCCAGGACGCTCAATTGTCGGAAGATGACTGAGTTGAGTGCGGGCTTGTCGCATTTGAGAAACTCATCGGCGAGGCACTGTACGGTGCGCGGCATATCCGAACAGTTACTCAGAAGCAGACTTTGTAGGCTACTCAGGTTGGTCATACCGCCGAAGCAATCTTCTTGCTTTTCGATGAAAGCAGAGTGGATCTCGATATTGCGTAGATCCAAGAGCACTTCCAGTTTTGGCATACTCCAGGAGTAGGGTCTTCCGTTATGTGCATCTTGAGCCTTGGGTTTGATTGCGAGTCTTCGGAGAACGGGAGTGAAAGCCAAACATTTGGCATCGGCATGGCATTCTGCTTCTTGTGGTAGAAGTGTCAAATCTTCCAGCTTGTCTAAATTTCCTTTGAGTAGCTTGTCGTGCAAAGTCGTTGAAGGAAACGAAAGTTCCGATAGCTGGGATTGAGTTTTGAGTATAAGACCAACCATACGTTCGTCAAAATTTAGCGTGGTCGTGAACGCTCGAAGGCTGTTTCGAGGTAGCGCGCACAGAAGCTCAAGAAAACGAATTGAGATATCCGCAGTGGTGGGGAAATGACCTTCCTCATAATTGTGTCCGTGAATATCCAGGTCCTTGATCATGTCTAAGATATCATCCGAACGAAGTAGCGCATCTATCGTGCTGCCCTCCCAGAGATTGGTAGTGAAGGTGTTCCAAAGTACTGTGCCAGCCACAGAACTCCATGCTTTGTTGACCAGACGAGCATGTTTTTGATCATCTTGCGGAAGCTGTATTTCCGTTAGCAATTGCACGTCACATCGCACAAAGACAGGAAGCGTTTATGGCTGCTTACAAGTTCGCAGATCATGTGTCTCAGCTCAGTCGGCAAGAGCTTGGTATGGTCGAGCATGGCAGGCGCCGACATCGTAGGAGCTTGATACGCTTGTCGGGTGCGCGGTTTGCAAGGAAATGTATGGTAGAAAGTAGCCCAGTTATGTGAGTAGAGATAAGATCAGTTCTCTGGAGGTAAAGAAGTCAGGGGAACGAGCAACGCTACTTCTACATGTGCAGGTCCGTTTTCACCAGGCAACGGACGTGCACAGGTCTGCTGTTGAACGCATTGACTTCTTGCTCCGGTGAAAGTACCGAGTCTTGACGGACAACGAAAGCCGCTCCACAGGAGGGCGCTCAAGGCGCCCTCTGTCCAAGGCCTTAGCTAGGACACTACGCGGCGTTGAAGACTGCACTTCGAGATTCCAGCAGTGAAGTCATCAATACCGTTATCTCTCTAACTGCTGTACTTTATGATCAGTGTCAAGATTTATGGATGCTGCCCGGTTTTGATCTCGAATGTTGAAAGGAAAGATCGATTGGGGAGCTGTGGCAACACTGGACGCGCTGGCACCAGGCGCTCACTTCACAATCTTCCATCGATAGTACGGGTCTAAACTGCAGAAAAAACGTGCGCATTCCAGATGTAATGAAACTGTTGATAGAATTGCGATACCTTGCTTCGTTCAAAAGCGTATCAGCATGCTCTTCACTCAAGTCTTGCTGTAAACCAGGAAATGGTCAAACAGCTGTCGGTCGTCAAAGTATCCTCCGTGCGCCGTAGTCGCCGTCGGCGTCACAATCTCGGTAAAGTCATTTCCTAGGAGCGCTTTGACTTGCGCACGAACTTGGTCGAGAAGTTCAATATCCAGTATCTCGCCAGCAAAGTCATCAAGATGGAAGAGCTCAATTTCGAGCGTCTGGAGGTCAGTGCACACCCGGATGAATTGACTGTAGGGGAAATGCACTTTGACACGAAATTTCACCCCGCGGTACTGCATGTCGTCGCGTCTAAAGCCGATACTGGGGATTGCAAGAGCGACTTTGAGCGAGTGGGCTTGCGGTGCATTTCCTACGTGATTAACGAGCAATCGAAGCCACTCTTTCTTATCTATTGCGAATGCAACATATATTATACCATCGTCTCAGTGAATGATGGAGAACGTATGGACTGGACGTTGGAATGGTAGGCGAGCGAATGATATGGAGTTGGCAAATTTGGGGCTCATAATCATCGTGTCTGGTGAATCTAGTTGATGATGGTCAATGTCGTCATAGTCTATTGGCCAGAGGTTCCAATGCGCCTGTTTCCGGAATACATCAATAGCTTCGTCTAGGAATATTTTACTCGTCAACAGCCAGATAGGTAAACAGGCGTGTTGATCTGGACGCCACGGAGGGTCTTCGTATCTGGCTGCGTACCAAGCCTCCCGAGTTGTCAAGTCGCTTTCGTCCAATACCGTTCCATCGTAGTAAGCAAGGATACCAGTCTGACTTTGTGTATGATAGGCTGCGATGCGGTTGTTCATCTTCCAGAGTTCGTCATAGACCATGTTGCGAAGTTCTGGCGGAAGTTCCAAGAACTCCAATATCATATCCGGGCTTGTCGCGCGAGCTCGAGCTTTGAGATTCGCTCTCTTGCCTCTATTCCCTTTGCTCTTCTCCATGTGAGAATACCAGCGGAAGTTGTACTTCGACTGAGGCATGCAAGAACAGGCTACTATTGCGAGGTAATCGCAACCGCTTTATACAGCTCACGGGGGGTTTGGCGTCAACGCAGCAAGCGGACAAACCTTGAAAAGTATAGTCACGAGGACCGCAGGCCGGATGAGATGTTTCTCACACGCTCTGGGCTGTGTCTGTTCCATTGAAATGCTTGCATGTGTTCTCAGTGCGATGTCCACGTTTCGTGACCGAGCGCATTGGATGTCTGAAGCATCGGGCAAGCCATCGACGCAACACCAGGCTGTGTTCTGAAAGCCTTATGGTTGCTCCTCTACTTCTCTTTGTATGTATTGCGGATCGTGAGGCGCAAGTGATCTACGTGGTTGGGGGTCATCGGACTGCGAAGGACGAGTAGAGGGGCCGAGGCTTTCGAGGTTGTACTGCGATGCGACATTAACTTTCACCAATGCAAGCTGCAGTCCCACGCCGCCCGCGAACTATGTTGCTACAAGTCTTCTCCGACCTTCTTGTACGATGCATGTCTTAATTGTGGCGTTCTGCGCGTGGGTATTCAGCCCGTTCCAGGGTTAAGACGACCGGTGTCGTGATGAGCGATAAGGATCCTGGTGGTTGTGTTGCGCGCAGAAAATGGTGCATATTGTCCACGAAGCGTGTACACCACGGTGCGCCGAAATTGTGTAGGCTGCGTGTAGGTGTGAAGTACCTTGGAAGGTTGAGCAAGGGTGTGGCTAGACGTGAGAGATCGCTGGGCGCGCGAGCAGCCCAGGATGTTAAGTGCCAGATTACATAAGACGGGAAGATCGTCATCTCGCAACCTCACTTCTCCCACCAAAGGTTCTTCGTGAGCGCTGCTTACAAGTACTTCAATTCTTCTGGTCTCTTCACAGTAAGATAAAGCGAACACTTTTCGATATACTAACGGGCACGATCAGTCTGTGATAGGGGAATCTCCAGACCTTCTAAGCTCATGCTGAATAAGTCTGCAGACGTTCGTGCGTAATCATCGTACCGATTATGCCCAAAGTCATGCACTCAGTAGTCGGATTCCCACATGTGCGACGAGAACCAAGAGTGGAACCTGGGTCGGTGGTAGATCGCGTACTCTAATGCGTTCCCTGTTAAGCATGTAACCTTGGAATGTTCAGGCTGAGATCAGGGTGTAGCATCATCATCTTCCAAGATACTGCCTAGGTACCGACGATTCGCTGCGCAGCCTTCTCAGATAAGCAAGCGCCCAAATCAACATATCGTTGCATTGGATGTGAGCAATCGCTCCTGCGATTCCAGGAAGAGTTGGATAGCCCCACCAGTAATCTGTTCCGCCACAATCTCGACCCCACTGTCCAAAAATTCTCATTGCAGTGTCCCGCCGGCCACCACCCTCCAACTGCGCTGTCGATTTGAAGGTCTGTTACCTCGCTCGCGTCGCATGACGGCGATATATTTGGGTAAAATGCTCACTCTTTCATCAATACAACAATCTTCAATAGTATAGTGGTCAGTATTTCCGCTTGTCATCTGGGCCTTCTGGCTCTTGACAATTACGCGGGAGACCTGGGTTCAATTCCCAGTTGGAGAGCTTTCAGTCGACTTTATTTTTGCCGTTTTTTTTTTCTTCGCTCATACTCTTTCCCTCTGAGCCCGCGGTTAAGACACACCTACGGGCAGCAGCCATTTCTTTTTGCAAAATTACTACATGTGATAGACACCTACAAGACTATGGCTAGCCAGCTACTCCCCCGGCACCGTGCTAACGCTTGGGGCGCGCTCCTGCGCGTCAAGCCCTTTCACATGGGGATAGTGAAAACCACAACGCCGCTCTCACGGTGATATCGCACTACCGAGCCTTGGCATTACGCTTGGTCGTCCAACCGCCCTCGCCCTCACGGTTGCATACTTTCGATAGTTCAAAACATCGCGGACACCTCGCGGTCCACGCAGATTACCGGCGCCCACCGACACCTTGATCAAGGCATAATCCGAAAACCCTGGAGCCTACATCGACGCCGGAGACTCAGATTCACTTGTTCAATCGTAGTGTAGTCTGCAGACCTGTTTAGGCTCCTACAAGACATGGCGACAGATCACATCGGCCGACTGCCCGCGGAGCTCAAATGCGCAGTCGTGCGCTATCTGGTCCTCAAAGATCGGCAAGCGGTCTCGCTCATAAACAGAGCTTGGGCCGTCGTAGTGATGCCCATAATGTGGGAGATCTTCACCACCGACCTACTCGTCAAGACTGGTCCGGGCTCACGAAATGTACTCGGTTTGGCATCCCCATCCTCGAATATCGTCAAGCATGTCCGCAAAATCGACCTTCTGGACCGACCAAATGCTTTTAAAGAAGCGGACCAACTGCCACAATTCCTGGCTGCCATCCCTCGCGGTCAACTATGCGGCTTCAATAGCAGAAGTGGCGTGCCTATCAGTACGCTCGAGCTCCTACTCCAGATACACCCGAAGCTCGAACATTTCATCATCCCTGGTACCCAGATGTCGCAGATATTACAATCGCCGTGGACTGGTTCATCCTTATCAGGCCTCACCGGGATGGTAGTCTCTATAAATACTCTTACCCCACGAGAGTTTCGGGAGCTATGGGTGCGATGTCCTAAGCTGACGCATATCCATATGAGTCAGAGCGAAACTGTCATGTCGACGTCAGTGAGCTTGCAGGAGGGTCATTTCGGGGCCGATACAACATCTGCAGTCTCGCAAGGTGGATCAGACACGACCCAGTCGGACATGGTCAGCCTTCAATTAATCGGCCTTTACATCAGTTCCCTCACCCTTCCTGCGACTTTCGGCACCATGTTTCAGCGGATAGACATCATTGCCCTCACTGAGCTCGTCCTTAATTATACTGGACGCGTCGCTGAGTTGCTGGAAGCTATGTGCTCTGAATTCCAGAAGCGAGAACCCTCTCTGAGGAAGCTGCGACTTCTCCTGGTGAATGAAGTCGCGTCAAATGACGTCCTCTCACAACTAAAGTTGTTTCTACTCTCTTTCCACGGACTGCGCCAGCTACATTACCAGTGCGGCAATTGCGTCAAGGTCGATGTCGATGGCATCATCAACCACGGGGAGACAATCACGGACCTACTCATCGTCAACGGAGGTGTCCACCGACAAGATGCCACCAAATGTATGAGCGCGGAAGATCTGCGGAAGGTCGCTATCGCATGTCCAAACCTAAAACAACTATGCCTCAACCTATACGAGATCGATCCAGATACTCCAGAAGGTGACTTCCTCAGCCCAAAGTCTACTCTATCTTCAGAATCGACCGAGTTCGAGAACGCTTTGAGCGCTATTGCCAGCATGAAAGCACTACGGCTACTACGCTTGACGAACCCGCCCAACTATCGCAAAGCCTACCACCGCCAAGGGGAGTTCATGCGCTTCTTCCGCCGATCGCTTGAGAGCGGAGAGCAGCGCTACGCGTTCCAGGCCCGAGCGGACAGCCTCGTGCGATACATGGGTGATCGAAAATCCAACATGAGATTCCTAGCATTCTCTCCCATAGAGTCGCTGACAAAGGCTGCCATGGCGGACAAGAACGGACATTTCTGGCCGCACTATTTCTACTCCTGCGAGCGGATGAAGGGAAATCGAGGCACGGAAATCTCAATCGCGAGGGCGGTGAGGGACTGGAAGAGAGAGATGCCGGAGGCTACTATACTAAACGAGGGATGAGTTCGATCATCCTGGAGCCTACATTGGCCTTGATTCGACTATTTTGCATGTTTTCATCTCAGTGCAAGCTGCAGGTCTGTTCAGGAACTTCCGGGTATGAGGCGATGCAGCGACGAGCTTGCGCATACGCATGCAGTGTACAGTATTCGCGAGAGACGATCCAAGTCAAATACCTTCGCAATGTCAAATGCGCTCGAATGCATCACGATAGCTGTCAGAAACATTGCGCGTAAGTGTATTTAATTCGCCCGTGTAGTACCTCTTCTGATCTGTGGCTGCAGGTGGCGTTGCCTGTTGCCTGATGCCTGGAGTGAAACTGGTCTAGCGTAATGCATAAAGGCAAGTACAACTGCGTAATTCCCAGATGAACATCCCGCCTGCCTGTCCATATTCCCCCACCACCCGGCCACTCGCATTATGGCAAACCTCCTTGCGCTACCAGCAGAGATATTGCGCACAGTTTTGATTCACGCCGTCGACGTCCGAGGTCTCAAGCGAGGGTTACGATTGAGGCTGGTCAACAGTATGCAACAGCAATTAACGCGCAGCTGTAATGTAGCCTGCTAATTCTTCGGCAGAGGAGTTCTCTCAACAAGTGAAGGATGCGCTTCAAGAATCCGAGCTACTGGACGACGTACATGGATATCGCTTTGGCTTCTCCCACTCGCCCGAGTTTGTCGCCTTTTGGCAGACATTCCTCACCAACAAGATCATAGGGAAGAAATGGGCCCATGTGGACATATGCGAACGCATATATCGCGCCGCCGAGCGTCTTCGCCGGATTAGCCATCCCCAGGAAACGAACGAGAAAACACTGCACACGATCTTGCGACAATATATCCATGCCTTCTGTTGCAATCCAGTGCGCATATTGTCGAGAGCACGTTCTAAAGACCCAATTCAGTGTCGAATGTACGATCAAGTATGCCTTCTGGGGATGGCCATACTCAACGACTGTCCAGAGGGAATAGATTCTCTGCTCAATGACCCCATCTTGGACGAGATCATATCGCATTCTCTCAATCCCTGGTCCAATCCGTGTGGGACGCGTGAAAATGGACGATTTACAATAGACTGTAAACAGGACCTTGCCTCTCTTGCCGCTGAGAACGGAAACACGGCGTTACTCGAAAAGGTTTTCCTGCATCCGAGTTTCCAACAACAGTCAATATATCATCGACAAGAAGCTGTTGAGGCTGCATTGAGAGGGGGCCATTTGGACGTAGTGAGGTTCATCATGGAGCCGCGTTGGGACTTGCCCGGAAAAGGGTCACATCGCACTTACAGTTTGAATCAGCATACACTGCTGTCCGGAGTCTTCAAAAGTCCGTCGGCCGATTTCGTCACTCAGCTCCTTGGCCTGATAGCCTCTCGTCCGATAAAAGCCCATGGTATCGAAGCCGTCCATCCTGGACACGACACACTCTTGTGCCTCGTCGCACGGAAGAGCCCGCAAAGAGTCGATGTGGCAGAACGACTTCTCGAGCAAGGAGCTTTACTTAAACAGAAGGCGCATGTCAGGAGACGAGGAGCTGAAGCCTCCTACACTGGTTCTGACAGTCCGCTTGAACAAGCCATCAAAGGTGGCAACAAGGACATCCTTCGCCTGCTTCTGAATCGTGGTGCAGATGCCAGGGTCCTTGACAACGACACTTTGGAAGTAGCTGTAAAACGAGGGCGTCTGGATATAGTGCGCATGTTGGTAGAGAACGGTACGCGTGTCACACCGCGGCTCCCATCGAGTGGTCGCAAGGAGCACTGGAGGTGGACAGAAGACAGGCTGATGGCGCACGCCGTGCTTACGGAGAACGAGGCACTGTGCCGATACCTGGTCGAACGTGGAGCTATCGTCAATGAACATGCCTTGTGGGCGGCTGCCGATGCATCGCTGGTATCAATGGTTCGATTTCTGGTCGACGTTGGGGCCGAGATCAATGAGCAGATGATCGAACGCGCGAAACGTTACAGTCATCGAGACGTTGCGGCCATACTGCAAGCCCATCACAACAGCACCTAAAGTTATCACCCTCCTTCCAGAAGCGCGTTCATCCGCTTCCACCTCCAACCACGTCTCGCGCGCCCGTGCCTCCGGCAAATGAACCGACCAAGCGAGAAAAGCGAAAAACGCACGCCCACCCCAGGAAACTTCCGCGTGCCAAAGGACCTACATCGGGCGCCGAACCCTGCTGGCGATTCAAAATTCAATAGCCCATCAACAAGACCGTCAAGACGCGTCGCGCGCACTGAAGTCCCTGCACAGCTTGTCAACTCAAAAGATTTCTCAACACGTAACTTTGGCGAAGAAAGCTATCGAAGAATAATTGATTTGCGCAGGGCGGTGAGAAGAGAGAAAAGGCACCAAGCGCGCAATGCCCTGGGGATATGTAATCGTCAGATCTGACATGTTAGCACCGACCGTGTCCGAGTTGAGGAACTGGGAACGACGCTGTTGGATACGTGCTGTCAACGAGATTCGAGAAGAGATGCGAACATGGGGATATCCTGGTTTGCGCTGGTGAGCCGCATGGTCCTGGTAAGAAAGTGGTGATTGTGGTCACGAGGCCCGATGTAGCTTTGACAATACGACGTATCCCTCCTTCTGTGGCGCTCGAACCTTGAACGCGCCTTTTCACCTAGCCAACGTACGTGACGGTGACGTTTTCCATCGCGCATCACGCGCTAGACCGCGGGATAGACGTTTAACTACCGCGGTGGTCTGTTACGGCTGTTGTTTCTCCTCTGTCCAACGGACCACACACACGGGTATCTCCAATTCAACTATATTTCCCGCCTTTCCTTCCCATCTCCCATAGCACATCACCCACTCACCCTCCCATCTCCCATCCCACCCCATCCATCCCATGCAATACCTTCATAATCACCCATCCATTTCCTTAGCATAGAGCCCGTTCCGCTTTACGCCCACCTCCGGAGCTAACCAGCGGCTGTTTCATGATTATCCCTGACCAGCACACACGGCACTAGCAGAAAGAACAGACCCATGATGGTCCCTGCGTCAAATTGATCAATGGAAAACTGACTCACGGGCTAACGACGTTTGTTTCGAAACTAGCTAGGGTAAGGCGACAGGCTGTAGCGAGTCTAGTGATGAGTGGGGAATTCGAGCGATGGGTGCTGGGTGCTGGGATAAATTGGTAGCTTGGTAAGCTTGGTACTTGGATGATGAGGATGATGAGGATGATGCTGTGATGGAGGGAGAGGTATCCTTGGGGTGATCATGGAAAAATTGCGATACGATGGTTAATGTTCTCGTGCGTGAATGTTTGACCGAGATGTTGTTGTGAAGGACGGTGGTGCGTAACTGGACTATTGCTTTCAAGATCATCACCACTATGCGTCGTTCTCGCATGAGATGGATGTTCTGTCCATGCTGACCATCCTCCACATCCCGAATCACACTCATCACCAAGACCCTCAAGATCACCAACTTCACATCTACATATCACATCCATCACACCTGCCAAACCCCCGAAGTCCCTCCGTCTTGTCCTTGTCCCACCTGTCTATCATTGATGCGATTTGCCCGCCAAACGCGGTGTTCGTATAGTCTCGTGACGCCGTATCCTCGCTCAATCCCGCTTTCCTCATCAATCTGTTACATAGGGCTGCATATTCCGATCTCAAGTAGATCTTCGATTTTGCGCTTGTGCGTGCAGGCATGTTTGATACAGAAACAGTGGAGAGAGATCAACATCAATAACATCCGCGGAGGAGACAAGGTGTACGATGACGAAATGATGGACAGGAGAGGTGAATATCGCAATTCCTCCTCCCACCTCCTAGCATGTTGAGAGGTGTGATGCGCGTCATTGCTATCGTCGCGTGTGTTGCCAGGTGGAGAACAGGGGGGCATGATTAGCATTGCATACATACGTGTAGTCTCACGTGTGCGGTGTGAGGTTGAATCCGGTGGTCTTGGTACCTAGGTATGTCGGGGGCTAGACTGTCTCGGTGTCTTTTCTGCGCATTCGTTGTCTGAGATAGCTAGGTATGAAGCACACCGACTTGCAGACTAGAAAATACGATGTGTTGTCGTCCAATAGTCTTCCATAGTCTAGTCGGTCAAACTAACGTATTGTCGCGTGTCACCAATCAACGCATGCAACCACATAGTCACGGCGCCGAAACCATCATAGTTGGAAAAGTCGTTGCAAAAATTGAACATTCTTATTGTGGCAGCTAGGGTAAAGTGCGTCACTGTGCGTGAGCGCTACTCCGATTCAACTCTTGTCCTGCCTCTCTCTGTCGCCGATCCCACTAGACATTTGCGCGTGCTTAACAAGAATTAACACACAATTCTCAACAAATCGAAAAAGGTATTTCCTCCACATTCGGGATATGCCAAAACAAGAACCAGAAAAAGATCCACCGCCTCAAAAAGGAGTCTCGGTTTCAGTGTGGCGAAGTAGAAAGAGAGAGAAAAAAAGGAAAGGAAGAAAAGTGAGAATGGTCATGAGACATGGTGTGTTTCAAGACGGCCTCAGCCACGCATAGCAAAACAGTTGCTTTGCCGAAAATGCCCATCATCCTTGAACTCATATGAACATAATCTCTCCAGAATAGACTCAAACTCAAGGTTTGAGAAGATGGTAAAAGGAAACAACATATGGAAATGGCGGTGCGTGCGTGTGTCTGGGTATAACCCTGCGGGTCCAAAATTAGACCGCTGGCGCTTTTTACAAAGACGTGTTGAAATCAAACATTGCGAATACGAAGGGGTAATAAGTTGCAGCGTTGAAAGCGAACCTGCATGGCTGAAGAATAATAGTGGTAAAGCGAGAGTGATGTTGCGCCGTAAAGATGAGAATAAGTTGCAAGTTTGTCGCTGAAATAGTAATTATCGAGATCAAAGCCGAGGCCGGGTATCATCATGAGTGAAATAGATCCCAAGCTCTTGCGCACAGTCCAATGAATTCTTCCTTCTTCTTGAGTTGAGTTTCTGGTGAGTCCCGTCCGGCTCCGAAGGGGCCGAGACGAGG